AGGCTATCGAAGTCCAACTTGCCTTTCACTGATAAACATATATTGTTTCTGCAATGATTGCTTTCACTAAAAGTGCGGAACTAATTAGGTGTATTTAAAAAAATATATATGCATTTTTTGAAAAGATTTTTTTCTCGATAAATACTTTCTTTAAGTATTTGTTATCAAGTGATACTTTCTATCTGTTAATCAATGATATATTTATAAACTGTAAAAGTTTGAACTTTATAAACCACATAGTTTTGGAGCTATTGTAAAAAATAAATTTCTGGACACGTTGACCTTTGGCAAAACCTTAAATTGTTTTTTTTTAATTACACCTTTTAGTTTAGGACTGGACTAGAAGGTTGTTACAATGGGTGGATCTGTAGCTCTCAGGTATGTCTGTCCGAGTTTATTTTTCCAGAAAGCTACAGATCTACAGCTAATGACATACATGCTCCAGGTGTTGCATTTGACCTACATTTTATGATTCATTGACTCAGAAAAAGGCAAATTTCCAGCTTAATATCTCAATGGTACCCAAAGCAAACTTCCAGAGATTGTGTATATGTGTATACTGTCTGAAGCAGGCTTGCATCCGAACATATACATTTTATCTGTGACTGCTTCCCTACGGTCAGTACATAGATCTTTTCCCGACTTATCACTAGTAGCCGTATTCAAACCAGCCTTTACACATAAGGTTCATTTTACACATGGTTTGTCAGATCCATTCATTGAATGTTTTTGCACCTGACCTACTTGATATGCTTTGGTGACTTTATTTCTGTACATCATATTATAGGCTGCTTCCTCTGATTCCATGTCTCTCTGTAGACAGTATGAGACTGAAAAGTCATGCAGGTGATACTTTTGATATTCACAACTTAACTTTTATTACTGTCTTTGAACTTAACCGTTTGATCTTGGAAAACTTCGGATTTATAGAAATAATGATAAAAAAGAATTTAAAAAAATTTAAAATTGCAAATATTAACGTACTATTTTTTTGAGGGGGGGGGGGGGAGGGGTGGATGGGTAGGCGGGGGTTAGGGGGATATTCATTTTGAATAAATTCTTTCAATGCGTTATATGTTATCACCATGGCTCCTTCTTTAAACCAACATTCATTATATCCAAGCATCAATATTTTAACAAAAGAACCCTGTGACTGCCTTGTGCTGAGTCTGATTTCTGGAGAATCGTTTAGCTCATCTAGGTCTTCAAAAGAAAGCAAATGTCATGGATTTCCCTATTACGAAAAAAACTTCAAAAACGAAACCCTACTACTGATTGTGAGTTGCTGAAGAATACTATCATATTCTTATTGATTGTCAATAAAAAGCTTTTGAACTAACATGTCAGGAAGTAATCATTTTATCATTCAGACCAGAACCAATGATATCACATTGAAATGAAATGTCAGTTTTGAACTCCAAACCACCGGAATTGACTTGTACGCCATTAAGCAATTTATCTTTATGACTTTTAAATTCCGGTGTCATATAGAAATCCGCCTAGGAAAGCCTCCCCCCGAAGGTTCTATGTAAAATAACACTTTTCACCCAACGATCTCATGTCGAAATTCTTTTTCCCACGGTCGATTTATTAGGCAGAAAATAATTCTCTGTATAGAAAAAATCCCCCCTCTCAGCACAAAAATCATCTCTCATGGAAGCTTTTTAGATAGAATTCCTCCCCACTAATCCGGATAATAATATCAGAATTGTAATTGTTTTCTTTACACAGACCCTCTGTCGTTACGTGTAACAGAGAGGAGAGACGTCAGGTTGCTGGCCTTACGAAGAAAAAAAAAAATCAAAAGTTGAATGATGTTAATTAAGCAAAAGTAATTTAACGTCAACTGAACATATTCCAAAACTATTGAATTTTACTTCAAATTGCAAGATTTCAAAGTTTTAATTTCTGGAAAGAATTTATTTCATTTTGAGAAAAAACTCATGTCATAGTTTATTCCCAATGCAACTCGATGGTTTTTTGATTTTTCACCATGCAGTTTTTACTGCAATTAATTATAAATATATTTCCACCCTCCCAAGTCCTCCCTATGGTTTATGATTTCATCGAATACTTTTTTTTAATTCCTGAAATTTTATATGTTGACATGAAATAGTGAAAAAAGAAATAATTGACCAAACGATTGCTTTTTTACACGATTTTTATATATTATTATTGGATGTATTTTACGCTAAATTATGAAGGTTTTCTTATTGCGGTCATCATACTTACTCCTCCGACAGGCCTCTATGATTTTGTTAAGTTTGAAAGCTTTCCTTCATTTGACATAATTGTCTCCTAGAAAATACAGTTGGAAATGAATGTAGAAAATCCAATCCGATTGCGGAGAGGTACGAAGGTTTTCTTTTCGAAATAAATTCTAAATAGAAAATTAATACTGAGTGAGGATGCATAATTATCTATATGACTAATAATGGTGCTGTTGCTTTAAAGATATTTTCCATATATTCTACTGCGACTCCATGGACTGAAAAAATATAAGGAAACATTCATTATTTCATATATTATAAGTTTTGTCTTTTCTGGTCCAGGGGCACTACTGGTAGGGGAATACTACACTCTCGGAATGCTAATATCCTATTTACATCTCTGACTAGTGCCCATAAATCGATCATAATACATAGAAGTACAATTTCTAATACTCCAATTCGTGTCCTAAACTTTGTACATGTCCAATAACCAATAACTTCCACAAACTAATCTCCCACGCATTTGTAGTCGAAGCTCTCCAATTTTCGTATTACTAATAAACAAATGCCCACTCAGTTCCAGCGCTGCAGAAAATTAACCAACAGTTAACAAAATGTTATAGCAGCGTTTTTGTTTGGCTTTTATTCAACAAACCATTGAAGACGTTATTGCAGGATTTCATAGATTTTTGTTGGCAGTGTTAGTATTGTTTTGATATTCAAATATGCTCGAGCTCCTCTTTATATAAATACTTTTCAAGATACGTCGTACAATAGATCAATGGTAGAAAATGTGCTAACTTCCTAGTTCGGTTGCAGTTATGTCATACTATGAAACCTACATTTGAATGATTCACAGATTTGAACGTGTTAAGCCTCTGTCATATACGTACAGGACAGATGATATTATAGGAAGATAGGGCATCTTTTCCTTTACCAAACCTCTGCAACTCGTATCCTGTAAGTGCAGAGTTCATGCCCTATTGTTAGAATGAATATATTTTGAACGGCTAAACAGTTAGCAAAGAGATTTATTGTATAATTTTACTAAAGTGTTAAGTTCTTCTCTGGAATTGCGTCATGAGAAGTATGTGATGACAATGTAGCATCATCTTTACTACGTCCTGGGTCTTCTCGTCGCCACAGGACCACTGGTGTTGTGAGGATGAAGAAGAGTGTGCAGATAAAAGGGTTGCTGCACACTCGAGTTAAGTCTAGGCCAGTGCTCTTTTTTTCTTGGATTTTTTGTCCCCCGCTTTAACTGAAAGTGGGAGATATCAATTTGGGTCTGTCTGTCCGTCCGTCTAGCTGTATTTCTGTCTGTCTGTAACGCTTTCGTTTCCGCGCGATATCTCGAGAACCCTTTGAGCTTTCGCAATGAAATTTTGCATAGCAACTCCCTATGGCCTAAAGAAAAACCCTATTGATTTTGAGGTCAAAAGGTCAAAGGTCAAGGTCATGAATTAATAAATTCTGTCTGTTTGAACACTTTCGTTTCCACGCGATATCTCGAAAATCCTTTGAGCTTTTGCAATGATTGTTTACATAACAACTCCCTGTGGCCTAAAGAAGACCTCTATTGATTTTGAGGTCAAAAGGTCAGAGTTCAAGATCGTAAATTTATACATTCCATCTGTGTGTAACACTTTCGTTTCCGGGCGATATCTCAAGAAGCTTTTGAGCTTTTGCAATGCACTTTTGTACCATTATTCCCTAGGGCCTCTCTCACCCCTCTCAAAGTGTCCCGCCCCGTTTTTTTTTTTTTTGAATTATTATTATTATTATTTATTGTATTAAAAGTCGCTTGGCACTTTTTTTTTTATCACAGGGGGCAAGTGGAGAGTTATTACGTATAATACAGGTTGTTGGCGGACATTATATTCTTATTACATCTATTAGAACTGTTTAGTAAAGGCTAAATTAGACACCAAGTATTGATTAAAAATTTTGACAATATCGAACATGAATATAAACATTATATGTGACATACTGTTTGCATTTAATCTGCTACACAATCAAGTGGCTCGGTGGTCTAGTGGTATGATGCTGGCTTAGCAAATGAGAGACAGGGGTTCAAATCCCCGTTGATCCTTTTTCTTCTTCTTTTTTTAATTATTATTAACTAAGTGATAGTATTCAACATGTGAAATGAAAAAGCTATGACGTCTGGTGTGTACAAACTCATAAAATCATTATTACAGTGTGATTAATATTCTATATAAAAAGAATCTTCTATACACATTTTAAAGAATAAGCAATCAAATCTTTATATCCATATTGGCATTTTTTATTTCCTTCAATATACATGTATACATTTAATAATTCTACCCCCGAACTGCGCATGCTCTTCTTTTTTCCCTAAGCAGGGGACACAAATTCTCTGAATTACATTGTTAAAGTACATTTCTTCTCCTAGCGATTTAAGTGATATGAAAGTATTGATGATGTGAGGTTTTACATAAAATGTCGAGGACTGGATGAACTCTCTGACTAAAAGAAAGATTATCTAGGACATTTTACGTCTTTGATATTGAGACAGGTATAGGTTAATGCACCTCGTATTTTTGTAGACTGTGTAAGAAATTCTTAAACATTCGTTAAATTTATGATATTCTGCCGTCTACGAAACAAATAACGTTAGTTGCAGAAACATATTCCACACACGTACATGTACTTTAACATCTACTGTTACGTGAATTGACTTCAGAAACAAGACTACTTCTTGTAGAAGTCAAACCCAAAGCGCTTTACTAAACCTTATATATGATGTTTTCCATTCTTTCTTTACAGATGCTGATGACGAGGAGGCCACAGTCCCCGTGAAATTAGACGAGGAGGAATCCAATATAAGAATAATTGAAGTACCCGACCTGAAGGTGAGACGCACAGCAAAATAATTAACTATTTCTAATACCTTGGAGTTCATTTCATCTTCAAATTGCACCTGCTGATTAAATCAAAGTGACATGTACACCTACGTAACTTCAGAAGAATATATTCTTTCCATATTTAAGTACAATATCGTAGGCGATTTTCACAGTCCCTATGCAAATCTGACTAAAGCGATTTGTTTTCGTAAGTCCTATCCCCTCAGATTAATTCAGGATTCTAACTAAAACAGAAAATCGGCTTTCCTGAAAAAAGTACAACATCGTTTACACAAAAAGTAATATGAGAGGCATTTTTTTAAATTACAAAGTGAGCACTACATGATATTATAAAGAGGTGTAGCGTCCTTTCCTTGTATTTCTCCTACTAGCATGACTTATAAGATTTTCTCGTCAATTTTTTGCTCTGAATATAAATTCAAGATATAACTTCTAAAACAATACTATATGTTTGATATCTTTTTTAACTTCACAACCAGCCTTTCCTCTTATATGCATATATCACTTAATTTTTCATTATTTCAATTATTCATGGGTTTGATATTTTACAGAATAATGTATCATTTCCAGAATAATAGAAAATCCCTTGTAATGTTTAAGTCGAAGTATTACGTTCAGATGTACTAGTAAACTGAAGTGCGATACTGTTTTATAGATCTACATGTATCTGTTTACATAGGGGAAAACACAGTTAATGAAAGTCAACTAGCTAAAGTTACAAAATGTAATAATTATTATACTGATAACTATATGCAAAAAATGGGGGACTTGAACCAGAAACTCTAAACGCAAAAAAAAAAAAAAAAAAAAAAAAAAAAAAATCTAGCATAAACCACTACGCCAAGGAAACAAAAAGTATCAGGGTCTTTTGTATAAATATGACTCCTTGTTAGAGCCTTTTGGAAAATAGATAACTGAAAAATATTATTATTTTTTTTTATATATGAAAACCATGTTAAACCAAGTTGTTGGTAAGAATATGTCTACTAATAGCGTTGGAACTGAACTTCGTTATTTTTTTTTCTTTTTGCTGTTCTATAAAGCATTCTGCTTCGAGTATAAAAATCAAGGAGGCAACAAGACAAGTATCCGGATTTTGTTAATAATTTAAAGTTAATTATCATGTCGGAACAAAAAGAGATAGCCATTTTCATTATTCATTAAGTAATTTCCGAGACTAATGTGTCCCCCAATACCTTGCAACTAGATAGTGTATTGAATGTTCATAACACTCTTGCCAAAAACAATAACTTTCATCAATCATTGTTTGTTTTGACACCTACAGATAAAGATGTGCACATACAGATGCTTAATTAAGACGGCAATATTAATTAACATTGAAGCAAAAAAATTAGTAAAAGCATGTTGTCATGAAGTATTACTATTGCAAGATGTAGGAAGTACGTTAGTATTTATGTTTTATTGTAAGTTTAATTGTATAATGTATGTTTTGATGATATAGGCCAAAATACATTTACAGTTTACACATTGGCTTTGTTATCTTAATCTTTCCGAAAAAAAATCTATCTGAAAAGACAGTAAGGATTTTTATTCAGTGTGGTGCTGCCAAGATCAAGCTACTTTACAATGACTTGTTCAATCATTGTTGCAAATAAACTTCTTCAGAACGTCGTTGCTTTTCACCAAAATTTGTATCAAAATCATTTGACATCATATATCATATCACCAAGGCTCGAGATCAATAAAGATACCAAATTCACTTCTTGACAAAATCAATTCTTGATATATATATATATACACTTATTTTTAGAGAACGTTTATTTCTTGGAATAAGAGCTAACCATAACATGTTGGTGCCCTTCTTTTCCCTAAGGTCTTGTTCCGCATTCATTTTGTAAATGTCATAGTGTTAAGCTGTCTAGGAATTGAAGATACTTGAATTTGTTAACAATTTTAGCTAAAACTTCTGTGTTTTCAGTAAGTACTCAAATGCGGCTGTTGACATTTTATTTGTACGTCTGTACACAATAATTTTGAAAATATTACCTCTAAGGATTGATTTTTTTAATACTTTGAAGCCAATATTGCTAGTCCTTGATCAATTTTCATTTAATTAATCTTGATAAACTCATATACTTGTATAACATATATACTACACGTATGAAGTCTGGCAAATCCATCAGAATAAGTTTTTTTTAAAAATCTTTTTGAGATTCTTCAGTTAACAACCAGAAAATCGAAAGAAAATATTATATGCAAAGTGTACATTAAGCAAAATCAATTTGTCTCGCGGGAAAAACTTTAATATGGAATATTTTTCACCTTTCCCGTCACATGGATTATCAGTATCTGAATGTAGATTCCAACATGGTACCAGCAAATGCATTTCGGTTCATAACGTTCATTGGGCTGTTTGTATAATTCATACAAAGTATTATGTAACTTGTGCAAAGGTGAACATGAACCTATTTAATTCTGCTTGCTCATTCCAGATCATATCTTCTTAAACCGCGGTCTTGAAACGGAATTCCATTTTCACGTAGCTGACTTAATCGTCGAGATATTGTGAGCATTTTTACACCATGTCGTGACGTTGCTAGAGAGACAAAGAGATAACATGCCACAGCATACCTGTTTCAATTGTCTTCTACGTCTCAGCATGGTGGTAATTTATTGGGGAAAACCAATTTGTCTCGGTGTTTTTATCTTCCGTAATTTTTCTTGTGATAAAACAATACAGGTATTCTCCGGTGCATTATTTATGGTATACTAAAGATATTGTAAAGTTTATCTTACAAAGAACGTGGATTAAGAAAATAAATATATTCAATAAAAAATGTATCAATAACAAAAATAAGTTTCTTGGCGGCAATGTGCTCAAGAAGATAGGACAAGAAATGATTAATTTCATATTCCCAACTTTAATGTTAGGAGGAAAGAGTTTACGGGTTGGCAAAGTACACTGTGGAACAAAACAGTTAATCGTTACTGTTGAGGCTTGAACATGAAAAATTGTTCACATTGTCCAACATACTGTGTAAAAATAGACAACACCTTGCAAATTCAAATGGGTCCGGAAATAGAACCTTGCGAACTCCCTAAAAAATATACTTTTAATGTAAATAGCGCTCAAGCAAAACAAGTATATGTTCAACAAAAGTCTTTGCATCGACATCTTCTAACAATATGCAGCCAATATGTCTATCAGTTTTGAGAATGGAAAAAATAGGCTGACGGCAATTTCAACAGAAATGTAATCCATTTATGTCATGATTTGTAAGTGATTTTATGACCCACATGATAAATGAAATCGCGGTATGTGACAAAAGGCTACAGAACCAATCGCTATGGCCCATATCACACTGAAGGCAAATTGCTTGGGCAATATTGCCCGCGTCAATTTATTCGGTGATTGTCTTTTGGTACGTAATAAACGTACTATTACGGGAGATGAAATTCGATAGAGGAAGTCATTTATCAGGAATCCTAATGGCAAAGCGACAATTTCGGTGAGCACGAAATTTCACATATCTTCCAAAGTATAAGTGGCTAATATACGGACTCTTCCGATTGTTCTCATTGTTTTAAATGCATTTAGTACATATACCCAAAAGCACAATTTGACTGTATTTTATTGGATAATGACTTTAACCTTAACGTTCTCAACTGCGCTACTTGAAATTATACAAGTCACTATTTCAGAAGTATTTCTACAGAAAAAAAAACATGTGAAGAATATTTGTTAGAAATTGTGTCGGTATAGAATACCATTAATGGTCTAATAATCAAGTTATCAATCATCAAGTGTAGATATGAGGATTAGTAGAATATTGGAGATATAATATGCAATAGTGTTGCTTTTAGCGCATATGGGGATCCGAGCTCGAGCCACATTCCATAAGCCGAATCGTTATTACGCCGGAAAGGAACTCATTAAGTCCATTTGAGGCGCATTATTTCTCGGATCCTTTCTCTGTTTGAGCTGCTAGGCCATTCATTAAGGTTAATTGAATCATTAACTATTGCAATACTTCCGTCAAATCAAAAGTCATTAGATAAAATACTGACATCTGCAGTTGTCATATGTCAATAGTGTTGAGTAACACATCCGAATGCCACAAAGCAAAGTTAGCAGTAATGCCCTATAAATCATTTTTGTAATCTTTTCTTTCTTACTTGACAGCTAATATTCAGTAATCGAATGGTTCTCACACTAACGGCTTATGTTTGATAAAAGCATCGGAGTCTTTTGGTTTGTTGATTTTCTTTTTCTTTCTTTTTTTTTTCTTTTATTTTGGTTGTTTAAGCCCAGTTTACTAAAAATATGGGAATCATGTGATCGTTCGAGATCATATTTTGAAAGATTGTTAAAATTGTTTTGTTCGTTGTTTCGTTGTAAAAAAAAATTGAATACATAGGAAAGGAATGTGCTGTTCTAAATGTAATTGGGGACACTGTGAGTCCTGAGCTCACAAAATGATACTCTGGATTTCATATGTATATAATGGCAAAGTCTGGGTTTTTCTTTTGCTTGGGACCCCCCCCCCCCAAAAAAAAAAAAAGTAAAATAGGATGTGCAAAATGCCTCTATGTAAAAAAAAGATTCTGTGAAAGTAAATTTTATTCACTGGTATAGGTGGAGTTGCGGATAAGAGATGAGAACCTCCAATAGTATGGAAAAAATGGCAGTGTCTGTGTTTTGCTATTGAAAACCCGAAATATATATCCGATCAAAAAGTAAAGAGGAGGTCACAATGGCACTGTCATGTTCTAAATTTTAAATTTACCGGGTGGGTACAAAATACAAAATTTAGAACATAATTTTGTATTTACTCCCACCCGGTAAATTCAAAATTTAGAACATGACAGCGCTATGTGACAAAGATTTTGTGAAAATGTCATCAAATTCTATTCTGTGGTATAAGAGGAGTGGCGGATAAGAGAATCAAGAGCAGGGAATTAGGGTTACGAGCCATTACATAAAAAAGAAACATATAAATAAAACCGAGTAAAACATTTTTCTCTTTGTTGTAGTCAATTGAAGATCTGCCGGATGTGGATGCCATCCTTGTGGTCTATTCTGTGGACGATGAACAGTCATTTAAAGAGGCCGTTCAAAATATTCAGTTCATAAGGAAGGAAGTGGCAAACAAGCAGGCCATAATACTTGTAGCCAATAAGGCGGATCTAGAGAGGCGAAGGGTAGTCTCCGAGAAAGGTAAGGCCCAAAACACATGTGACATATATTCTCCTACTGAACCCCTCCCCCGGCTCGAATTAAAAATGTTTATAATGTAACCATTTCACAAATAGAATTTGTGTACTTGCTTCTCCTTTCGTCCATTCAAGAGAGGAAATAATAGTAAATAGAATCTTAATATATTCTGACGTTTTTTTTTTTCAAAGATAAATTTGCAACAGTATATTGCTGAATTATTTACCTTTTCATCGAAAATCTCAACACTTACCAATCATTATACTACCATACATAATTATACATTGCAGTCCAAACGTCCTGTCGTTTACTGACTGGAGTACGAAAACGGAAACGAAAATTGTCAGTTCAATTTTATTCAAAACATCAATATTGAGTCTTTCTTTTATTTCTGATGTATTCTCTTTTAGAAGCCAAAGCTGTATCTGACCGTTATCACTGTAAATATGTAGAGATCTCTGTTGTTCTCAATCACAACGTTGACGAACTGTTAGTCGGAATAGTCCGCCAGGTGCGATTGAGGAGGAACTCGATAGAACTGGAGGTACCCACCCTGGCCCCGACCAAAATGTCTAAATCGTTCTCCTCCAAAACAAAGTCATTCTTGTGCAAGTTGTTCAAAGTTGGACAGAAAGAAAATTCAAGTAATAATTTGTACGATTTGTGATCTGAATACACCAACCATTGATAAAAATGTATTATTGTTCAAAGTCATGGCAAATTGAATCATCGGAGCCGATGTCATTTCTGGAATCAGTTTCGATGTAAGGATTAGACTATTTAGTGGACACGTAGTAGCACTGAAACTGAATGTGCATCGTTTGAATGACTGACGAGCTGGAATGGAATTTAGCAACAACCAATGCGAGCAGCAACCGATTGATGATCTAGTCTACCGATTTCCCCCCGTTTCTTCAGTACCAACAGTGAAATCCGTGTCGGATGCCCTGGCTTATATCGGTATTTAAAATTGTATAAGCAAAGCACTTCATGCAAATAGTTTGTGAAAAAAAAACAAGCGATTAGAAATATCAACTTGCATGTAGCGAACTTTTGGAATTAAGTGTAACAGTGATTGTTCGTTCATATTGAAATGCACAAATTTTTCATTGTACAAGTATAGCGATTGCTTATAATATATCTACCGTGTATAAAATATCAGATCAACCTTGTAGTACGTACAAATTCGAGTTACTTCACAGATATTCTTAAAGCTTTATCTTGAACTATTCTGGAAAGACAGATGCAAACAACTGGATCAGAGACCTGGTATATTACTACTGAACCGTAACTTTGAGTTCTTGTGAAACTCTTTTATCAGAGACACAGATGTGTTTTGTTGTATTTATAAATATACGTTTCAAAGACAAGTGGGCGAGTAATATAAATTGTGCGGAATCTCCCGAAACGAAAAACGTGTATAATAAAAACGATGGTTGATTTATATATTGGATCGGTGTGGCAAATGTGAAAAAATAAACAGGAAAAGAAATATCAACCTCAATGAGATGTCATAAGGTTTCTTATTTTACATGTTACCTTGAGATTTTATTTATTACATTCTTTGGGAGCGGCCAGGAATAAAATGCTTCAAATTATTGAGATTTTCCTCTTTTCTTACATTGACGAGAATGCTTTTGTACATTTCTTTACACATATTCTAAGACATCAAAGAAAAAACTGGTTTACATATGAACTTCTTGAAGTTTCCAATAAAACATTAAATCTAATTCTGGTTGTAACTCGCTATTTGAATTATATTCGCTTGACTTTTTTTAATGCCTTTTCACAAATCATCCTTATTTCGTCACTAAATGATAGAAAATCAAATTACAAGGAATAATTTTAATAGTTACTCAAATTATATATTAAGTATTCGTTTAATCTGGGTTGGTTAAAAACCACTTTTGGATTTAGAAAATGTAAACTGACTCAACCCAGATTGTATTCTGTATTTTAACTTAGGTAACTTCTTATTTTCATTTTCTAATAAATTACACAATCAGGCAAGAATTATTACACAATCAGACCATAAAATTGACCGTCGCAATATGCTAATCATCTATCCTTTAGTTTTCACAAAATCGGAATTGATAAAAGAATTAGACTACATGAACAATGGGTTAGTTCCAGCAGACAAGGCTTGTAACAATATCGTCTTTGTTTGTAAGGCTCATTATTATAACTGTATCTTAGAAGTACTTAATTTAATTCTACATCCATAGTTAACTTTCTAAGTATGAACTTTTAAAAAAAAAAAATCACATTTCATACTTTAATATTTTTATTATTCCAAACAACGAAGGTGAGTTCAATCTACCCTACTTATACTGGCTTCCTTAACTTCATAAAAATCCTTTAGTTACAAACAAAACACATTGCCGTGCCCAGCAAATGCTCTACCAAACCCCTATCTTTACTCCTCACAAAAATATTAACTGCTGTAAAAGAGAAAGTTCAGACATACTGTGCTACAACATATTCAAGAAGTGGTGTAAATCAAATATGGATTCTCAAAATCTCCAAAGAACTTTTAGAAAATTTAAAATTAAAAAAAATTCAGTTAGTCACAATAAAACGTATGACTTCTCTAAATTTTATACCACCATCCCTCACGATTAAAAAAAACCTAGGCTTTTTGATATAATAGACAACTGTTTTTTATTAAAAATGGAGCTCGGAAATTTTCATATCTTTTGATTATTCATCTACAAAATTAATTTGCTAAAAATCCCTCTGATTCCACACAAGTACTCTGAAGTTGATATCAAAGGATGCTGGAGTTCCTCATTGACAACATCTATGTAGTTTTTGCACACCAGGTCTTCCAAAAAACTGTTGGAATTCAATAGACACTTATTGTGCTCCTTTATTAGCCGATCTATTTTTATATTCCTATGAAGCAAAAATTATTCAAAAACTTCTTCATGAGAAGAAGAAAACACTTCCTGTGGCCTTCAACTCGACAGTCAAATAAATCAACGACGTTTTATTAATTAACAGTAGTAAATTCATAAGCCGATCGACTGGATATATCCCAATGAACTCGAAATAAAAGACACCACAGAGTCTGCAACATCTGTTTCATATTTGGATATTTTACTGACTACAGACGGTAAAGGCCAGCTATAACTAAACCGTATGACAAACGAGATGACTTCAGCTTTTTTATTGTCAACTTTCATTATTTATGTAGTAATATTCTGCTATCACCTGCATATACATATAATGTTTATGTCTCCCAACTTATTCGATACTTAGGAGCGTGCTCTGAGTACGATCAATTTTCAAACCAAGACAGGCTACCGACAGATAAGTTGATGCCACAGGCTTTCAACAACCTTGTTTAATGTCAGCATTTCTTAAATTCTATGCTCGTTATAATGTCTTTTTTAGAAAATATAACCTCTCATTGGGTCGTATATTGACAGACATATTTCGTACCAATTGTTAGGACACTTCTTTATGCTAATCTTCCGTCTACCTGATCAAAACACAGGGCTCAGGGCGAGTGTGACCAGACGACAGGGGTGCTTACTCCTTCTAGCACGTTGCTCATCCTATCTGTAGAATTTCCAGTATTCGTATTTTATGCCCCATCCACAGATTTGTATTGTTGGAAGGGTTTTTTTATCGATCACTGTTCGTTATCTTCACCTAGCTTTTCATTTTTATTTCTGTTAATTTTGACCGAGTTCAATCCGACGTTAATTTATGAATGATAGGATTAAATACGTGTAAATGAATGTATCTAGGGTCAGTTTTAAACGTGAAGTTCGTTTTGTTCTTTTGACTTTTGAGTTCGAATACTGTTCGTTATCTCCACATATTTCATCTTTGTTTGTTTTTGGTTTTTATGAGATACCCAGTATTTTGGGAATTACATATAGAACTTTTTATGCTTTTGACTTTACTATTTGCAGGATTATATATATATATATATATATATATATATATATATATATATATATATATATATATATATATATATATATATATATATATATCTTCAGAAATCATCTTCATTTTTTTGTATGACAGTTGGATCGTTTTCATGATTTTGGTGATTTATGAAGTCAGTTTAGGTCTTTCAACGCAAATATGGATATAAAAGAAGGCACGGTTCTCTTCCATTCATTGCCTGACAATGAAGATAGACTTCACATTAAGAGATCTGTAAATTGAGATCAATTTCCGGTCACCCTTGCGGAGTGCTGATCTCTTTTAATTACTCAGTATTATTTTTTTGGCACTCACTTTTCATGTGTAGCTAAGCAGTTATCGGGATGTGATTAACGATTTGACATTTATTCAGAATCAATTTTCCCGCGAAAACAATATTTTTGTGGGGGAAATTATATATAATCGTTTATTTATTTATATTTTTCTGGCAATACACATAATCCTAAACTTATTTGACCGATTCTTCTTACTTTTAGGTTAAAAAACAACTTTGACGAGGTAAACAAACACAGCAAAGAAAACGTAGATGTGATTTCAAACGTAAATTTTCAAAAATAAAGATATTTCAATCACAGAAAGCTGGTCGAATTTAAATACCGACGAACCTACAGATTAAGGTGCATCTTCCCTGGAATAATTCTTGTAATAATTACCATAATAATGTCTGCGAATTTGACATTAATGAAAACCATTACGGTAATACAACAGTATTTTTTTCATCTGAGAGGAAACAATTATTTGCCGCAGAGGATGTGACTTAGTACGACCAAATCTCCATTCTTCACGTAAAATTTCTCGCTAGTGTAAATTATTTTCGCGCAAAATATCTTTACTAATCGACAAATCTAAATAATCATTGCTTATGGTCTGTAACCTTTTTTCTTACAAGATTTAACTGATATATCACTATAGAAAAAAATTACCTTGTATACATAAATTAGAGACTTGAATAAAGACACCCAGAGGCAGTGGATATTTCTGAAACTCCTCATTGCTCTCTGAACAGTTTAAAAGTGAATGACCGAGTTTTCCTTTAATTAATTACGCTAATCTCTAAGAGAACTTGTAGTGCAATTTCCTAAGATATAATGGTCACATTGAATCCGCAGCGTATTGTTAAATCTAAATGATGTTATATCTTTTATATATACGAGTACTATATATCGCCTGTTGAATCAAATCTTTTTCTTCGTCTGAGTATATGCTGAACTACTTTCTCATGTGTATCAAAAACATATTAAGCTATTTATTTTATTGGATTTTCTATGTCTTCACAGACCTAGAGTTTGTATTTGAGTTTATAGTGGCTTCCAGTATAGTTCAACTAAAACTTATTTATCAACTGACAAGATGAAAATTTGACCAATTTATTCCTGCAATGTTTTTTTTCTTGAGATCCAACTTCATCATTCGAAGAACGTCCGGAGAATATTGATTTGACTGGGCTTTGACAATGTGATATCCACAGAAACTGGAATTCAGACACCAATAACAAGCGCTGAACAAGATTTAATAAGAGCAATTTTTCAGACTACTCTGATTTACTGAGCGGTTTACAACAGTCAGCAATATTTCAGAGCTATTAAAGGTCGGCTGGTCAGTTGTGACATATGCTATATTGCGGGCAAGAAATGTTTTAATCGTGTGAAAAAAAAGCACAGGTTCGAAGTAGTGCAAAATAGCATTTGAATTATTAAATGATTTAATAGTAAGAAAATCTTACGATGCCTTGCACACACTTTCATTTATTGAAAAATAATAATAATAATAATAACTAGAAACTCATTACTAGTAATGAGAAGGTCTTCCGTTATACGACTTCCTGTTTGCATGAACATGTCTTTTCCAACGTCGGTATTAGCCTATAACTTATGTAGAAACAAAATAAGTTAAAAAATACTTTTTTGCTTCGTTTCCTGTCACGACTGGAAGTAATGACGACACACGATTTTTACACGAAGCAAATGAACTGATGACTGACTATAAATCCTCAAAGTTTTAGACTTCAGTCTTTTACTGTTGCCGAACAATTGTGAGAACATATTCTAATTTTGAAGACAGGAAAACACACGACCGGAAGTGAACTGAATAAAAATCTCTGAATTTTCTCTTGACTTTTGCAGTATCTACAGCATATGTAAAACACATTTCAAATGCTTATCTATATGTGATATTTATGAGAAAGTTAAACCACAAAATAACGTAGATTATCTTTTAAAACCGGAAGTTTAAAGTTTTTGTTTCCGGTGGAATCTAACATATTTCAAAACAGCGAAAAGGAAGCAATAAAGTGATGAAAGTTTTAATTTTAAAAAGAAAAGTTGAAATTTTCGATTTCTTCGATAACTTCCTGTGATGACCGGATGTGACGGCTGACGCTTTTAACCCTATGTGTTTTGCCTCCTCACCAAGTTTTATTATTCCTATAAGTTTGGTGTCTTACTTTCAAGCCGTTTTTGAGATCTTGCTGAAATAACTTTTCATTTTGAGGACAAGAAAACACGCGACCGGAAGTGAATTTTACTAAGATATTTTACGTCACTCTAGACATCTGCAGTCTCAATAACATATATAAAAATCATTTAAAGAACTCTATCTATAAACGATATGTTGGGGAAAATTCAAAATCCCTATTA